CTGCCCGGACGATTTAGCTGCTGTGGGCGTATGTTTTGTTGCCTGGCAACCTATCTTTACTTTTGACAGTGTATCTCTTACGAGTGAAATGGGGCCGTCAGATAAGCCGCCCATATGAACTGTTTATGTTCATGTATAGGCAATTGGCCTGTTATTAACATACACTGGTTACCTCTAATAAAAACAGCAGTTTTGTATTGTTTCTGAATATCCCCTACTTTTTTGGAAGAGTATATATATATATATATATAACAAGTCATAACTTACCACCTCACATTTATAGTCCCTAAATAAATGGCTGTGTTCTATTTAACAAGTTATAAGCATTTCAAATAATTAAAAAATTAGACTGAAAAAGTTGTCAAGCTGCAGCCATTAAATCCGGATATTTTTTGGTGCAAAATAGGTTATCTGCCCTTGATATGAAATTGGTCCCTCTTAACCATTGACAGGTCGGGATAATCAAAACTATTTTCTATGAAAGCTATATATTAGATCAATAAATCTAATTTAGAAACACGTACCTTAGGCAACTCAATGATTGTTTTGAGAACCTTGTAAAAACAAAAGGTAGATACTGCTAGTATGCTATTCTTCCCTAACGAAGGAGCTTCGGAGATATTAATTTTACTAAACCAAAAGATGCCGGTCCTAACGGTGTAGTTCATAATGTAGCAAATTAAAAAACAAAACGAACGTAATTTTCCAGAGCTGCTGTAACAATGAATCAGAAATATTATTGTTATTCGGAATCGTTAACAATAGATTTTTACGGCTTTAATAATCAATAGATGTGTTTAAAATTTCACGTGCGATGGCTATTTATAGCATCATTGACTATACCGCCTAATATTATTGCACTGCGTGACTAGCCAGAAATCAGTTTGGGACTAGTCACTGAAGCGTGCACATTCGCTGTGGCGTGTACAACTTTTAATAGAGAAAATTTTGGTTGTGTGGGGCACCCTAATTGTGTGTTTCGGCTTTTAGCAAGAAGGTAACACTAAAACAATACCTGATATTTTTAATCCAGATATGTTGCCAGGCAACAAAAGAAATGCTGACAGCAGCTAAGTCATCAGATGATAACTTTAGTCTGTAGAGTGTCCATAGTGTCGGCATATAAAAACGATAATTTCAATGAAAAGATTTTTTATTGTGCCATAAATTTGAAACAATACAAAAAAACACTACTGTAAGTCTGTCTGAAACACCTGTGGTTTCAGACAAATCTGCTTTGAATAGAACAAATCTACTTCGAAAGATACTTCAACTAGTCTGATACTACTGAGCCATAATCTGATTGAGGAGTTTGTACTTATTTCTTTGATCATGATTACGTTATCTATAAATCTTCTTGTCAATGACCGTCTCTTTGTTATAACATTAAATACTTAATATGTTTGGCAATATAAACCAACCTGCAACATTTTAAAGGGTGGCTTTTAAGTTAGCAGGGGCAATAACTATGGATATGGCAAGTCTGAATTTGGATAGGGTTCCTCCCTCCTCATACATTATTAGACAAGCAAGTTTGAAAAAAAAAACCAGCGGCTGCCAGGCAGGATACGCCCACATTTTCCAGAGATGGATAGAGAACAAGCTAACAAGAAAGAGATTTTTCCCTACTATCAAGGGCCATAATTCAGGAAATTACAATTCAATATGCGCGAATATCGAAAGGAACTGAGATCTTTGTGTTATAAACTTACATTTCAAGTTTCAACAAAATTGGATAAAAATTGTGACCTCTATAGGGTCCACAACCTTGATATACCATATTTTTACGCTATTTGAGAATGAACGGTGGCCATTTCGTCTGTCAATTTTGGGTTGATTTTCATGAAATTCGAATTCAGTCGTCCTTAGGGTGTAACAGTGATATAATAATACAGTTTTTTAAATTGGATAAAAATTATGACTTCTATAGGGTCCACAAGCTAAAAACGTGATATTTTCCGTACAATCAGGGGCCATAATTCAGGAAGTTATGGTCCGATATGCGTGAATATCGAAAGGAACCGAGATCTTTGGGTTATAAACTTACATTTCAAGTTTCAATAAAATCGGATAAAAATTGTGACCTCTATAGGGTCCACAAGCTAAAAACGTGATTTTTCGTACAAACAGGGGCCATAATCCATGAAGTTTCGATCCGATACATGCCAATATCGAAAGCAGCCGAGATCTTTTGGAGATAAACCTATATTTCAAGTTTCCTCAAAATCGGATAAGAATTGTGACCTCTAGAGTGTCCACAAACAAATTGTGGACGGACGGACAGGGGCGACGGCATAATACGTCCACATGAAAATGTGGGCGTATAAAAATGCATTTCAATAACTCTCACCAGTAGCGCATTTACTAGTGTTTTGTAATAGGGACAGTTGGCATGACTCTAGATTTTGATAGGGTTCCTCCTTAATTAGGACTAGCCAAACTAACCCAGTGAAATCTAGCTTTTACAAGTTCCTTCTAGACTGGCCTCGATTGTGATGCTGTACTAATTTGATCGGGTTAGACCAAACAGAGGAAGCAGAAATCAGATCCATTATGGAATGTTCCTCAATTATTGACATATAAAATGTGTCACTGACACAACCTACCGATTCAAGCCAGTTGCAATAGCTTGCCTTTTGTAGGTGATACTAAATCAACCAACCAAATTCTTTTGACCAAACAATAAATCCAACCATTGCGCAAAATGTGTTACTAATACTATCTGAAATATTTAATGCCTGATAAAAATGTTACAAAAATAAGAAATCGATAACATATTTTTATCAGTGGGTTCCTATTACTAAAAGAGCATCATGAAAATGATTATATTGTGTTTGTCTGAGAGGTGTGGGCTTGGTAACAAACAATAAATATGAATATTTTATTACAATGACTTATATTAATATTATTGTTAACATTAAGTGGACGGAAGTTGCATTATATTATTTCTGTTTTTAATTGTAATAGAAGTAGGTTGACATTCATGTTTATTGCGATATTATTTAAGGGCAAAAAAACTAACAATATGTAGGCATATTTGAACATAAATCAGTGTTGAATCATAAATATGAATACTGTGTTTAATTAAAGAGGCATACTTTTCCCAACTGATAGGAATCGATTTTAATATCTAATCAACACTAAACACAATGTATTAGCAGTTTTGACACTAACATTTGGATATTTTATGTGATCGGGTCTGCTAAACTAGGGAGAAAATTTTGACCTTACAGTGGCATTTATGACTCCTCTTCATCACATTCCAACTTTAAGGGGTTCTATTTGCATGCCAATGTGTACACTTTTGGGTCTTATATTTCAGAACTATCCAAATGACTAAGTGCTACCGTAACAGACTCAACACATTCAATTGTATTGACAATATACACAAGTCAATAGAATACAAAATAAATATACATGATGAAAGAAATTTTAAATATTGAAGTTAATACAAAACTTTTATGTACAAAAAGTAATCCTTACACAGATGAGCCTATGATAGGTATTATTACAAGAAAGCATACTCTTAGTTGTGTACAGCACTTGTAAAATCTTATTGCCATTATGCCATGAGACTAAATAAAACTGGACACAGTACCCATATCTGATTACATTTTACAAAATACAATACTAGCATAAGGAATAATATGATTTATGGTACATGTTTACAAGATAAGTGATTAGTAGACATGTTTTCTCAATAACAGTAGGTTGTGGTTATTCCTGAAGTGAATACCCAATGTCAAGGTAACCCACTGATAAGATCAAGTTTTATAGGATTAATCATACAAGTAATTAAAATGAATAGAATGAACAGTTGAAAGTTGTTTCTGACAATTTAGATCAGTTTTACATAGGGCTGGCAATCGATACCGATTTCAAATATTGATATCGGCAACCATTTAAGCGATATTGATAAATGTGAAAATTTGAAGTTGAAAGAAATGACTGTTTGTATGCTAATAATGCATTTAAATGTGTTATTGTTCAAATATAAAATAACTATAATCCTCAAACTATGTTTTCTAAATGTTTGTTTCGTTCACAGCTTATCTGATGGTGTTATTAAGAAATAGCGTGTTTTGAATGATGTGTTTTGAATGATATGACGGTGATTATTTGACACCAAACATTCTGTTAATTTCATTTAATAGAAGCTGCTTTATTTTTTAGACGAGTATCAATATCAAGAACTGAATATCAATATCAATATTTTGCCGTAGTTGCCGACGATTATCGGCTATATCGATATTTTTCACCAGTCCTAATTTCCCCCCATCCCCCTAAAAGTGAACAGCAAAAGAAAAAAAACCCAGCTTGGTTTAATACAGACATGAAAGTTTGAATTGAGCACTAATAGATGTAGAGTGTCTTTGATTTTCTGTTATTTATTCTAGTGGTTCTAGTGTGTTAAAATATATTTTGTAAAATTCTTGATCCTTGACTTAATTAATATAAAATGTTTTTTGAAAGCAGGAAATATTTTCAGTTAGTGACAAATTGTTATGCCCCAACCACCAGGCATTTTATGATTCATTAGAAAATATATTAATTTGGATGAGATGTTTCTGCCAGGCAGCATTCTTTAATGGGAATGTTAGGAATTATTATGATTCGTGTAAGCAGTCCAAGGTTTTTATGATGAAACACAAATAATGGTTTACAGATATTCCCATAGGCATAATTGGATAATTTGTTTATCCTTTGAGACTGATATATATCTGGATTCACAGCATGTGAATGCGTAATATTTTTAATGACAAAAAGTATAGACACAAATTGCTTAATAAGCCCAAAACAAATTATACAAATTACTTACTTAAATTTGTAGGTTGTCAAGAAAGCTTCCCTGAAAGTATCTTAAAGAGATGCAATGGTTTTTGGTAACAAATATATTTTTCTAGGTAGTTTTTGATATTTTTCAATGAAATGTAGAGGGAATATTTGGAAGAAACTTAATCCAACGCCGTTGTTTCTTCAGTTTATTTGATTTATTACAGGAGAAGTAACCAGCGCTAAAGCTGTACCTGCTGTAGATAAAGAACTGGAATCCCAACAACCTGACAGTCCTAATGAAAATGAGTTTGTAAGTGATGCTTTCTCTGAGAACCAGATGGATGAAGAAGCTCTGAAGAAAGAAATGGAACAATTAGCTGTAAGAGAAGGTAAATAAATGTGAAGTTTTAGCTCTTGTCTCCATCAGGAGAGTAGAACTTAGAAGCTCTGAGCACCATTTGGATGTCTCATTCTCCAAGGAAGTTTGTTTCATCACATTTTTTTCGTCTCCAGAGAGATATAAATTGACACTATTGGCATTGTTAGAAATGAAAGGGGTTTAATGTCCTACTATACTGCACCAACAAGACTAACGAAAGCTGAGGCAATGGTAGAAAGTAATTGAACTTTGAAGAACATAATACCAATTATTTGTTCCTTTTAGTTTTTAAAACTGTCAGTTTTGAAAGTAAAAATAAGGATTTTATATGGACAGAAGAGCATGGAGCACACAGTGTTACATGAAATAATATAAGCTTACTATTTAGAAACTTAAAACAGGGATAAAACAGTCTTCAAAGGATTATGAAGACAATCAGTCCCAACCAGCATATTTAACTGCTGTGAACTCCCAAGTTCTCCACCTTTCATTAGAACTCCTGGCGCAAGGATATGGACACTATAAACTGGTTGTTTTATGTGATCAGTTCGATTATTTCATTACTTTAACCACAAAAGTTGGTCTAGACTTCACCAATTTAATGGATTTTCTAATAATTAAGTGAAATCGATTTTGAATTATTCCTTTATTGTTATAACTATAACCAAACGATCCCAGATCTGTATGTAATAACACTTGACCCAAAACAAAAATGTCCTTATTTATAGTGTGATTGAAAAGCTATTGGCAAAATAACTAACAACATACATAGCAAATTAAATACGTTTTTGGGTGGGATATTTATGGGAATATTAGAATCTATGCGTACATATACAATGCATTTAAATAAAGGTTTAAGAAAAAATAAACATGTATCTCCATTCTCCAAAATAGAGGATGATGATGATGATAACACATCTGAGGAATGGGAAAAGGAACTTTTGGATGAATTGATGGAATTAGAGGACTAGGTAAGATGAGGGATACACTCAGGTGTGGTGATGGCTTCAAAAGTGGTGTCAAAAGATTTTATTGGGTTTTTATGAATTGTGTTTTAATAAAGTTAAATTTGCTGATCATCATTTGTATTTTTCAGACTATATGATATCTGATTTTTCACAAGTAATTTATCATTTAATGAAAAAAATAAAATAAAATAATATTGTAAGTTTGCAAAGGATTAAAAATCTCCCCCAGTGATGATCGAAGACTTTAATTAGAGTAGCTCACACCAAACAATAAAATCTCTTCAAATAAAAGCATCATAAACAAGATATTTATAGCAAATCGAGACATTTAATAAAATAAATGTTATGGATTTTGAAAATATTTCACATTCAAAATAATCTTCCCTGAAAACATGTTTATCTTAAATTTTGCATTCAGGCTTATTATCTGAACATACCATATTCCCAGTGTTATTTTATATTCAAATTACATCACACATACTCAAGTCACTTAGAGATTTGTAGTTCTGAACACTAGGAGTTAGTTTCAGAGATCAACGACAACATAAGCAAGTAATGAGGGAATGTTGCTAAATCCAGTTCAGTTTATTGAATAAAATATTGTTTAAGCAAGTAATGAGGGAATTTGCTTCTGATAATTAAAGAGTGGAATATACTGATGTTTTGTCGACAGTGGTTTTTAATTCTAACTCTAACCTTTTCACTAACTCTAATCAGTAACCTTATATTAGCACTAGTTTGCACCTATTTAACCTATTCATCGAAAAATAAAATCTCAAACAGATCTGTGTATAATAATTAGTGTAAAAATATAATAATACAGAATTTTAAAAATAGGGTATTTAAGTACATTCAATATATTCATTTATTCACGAACTATTATAGCAAGAACGTCCAGTTCTTTATCTTAATCTTACATAATGCATCTTTAATGTGGTGTAACTTTAAATTTTATCCTTCCCTTCCACCTGTAGTAGTACTGCTCTGAAAACTCACTATGACGCAGTTCGTATTATAAGGCAGGGTTCAAAGTCGTCACCGCCAACAACATTATAGTGGAACACTTCAGTCTAATAAACAAAGAAAATAATTAAACACCCCTGCGTATATTTTACAATGACCAGTTATTCAAGGGTTGGAATTGAAACCCTGATAACATAACCACAGGAAAATGAAAAGGAATGTGGTTTGCATGCAGAAGCCTTTAAGGTATTTATCATAATTTTGACTAAAACTCAATGGCACCGTTTTGTTCAAAGACGGTAGCCACAATAAGTATGGTGGTGCATAGTCAGGAACGCAATTTTCAGCCCAAAGATGAAATCAATAACGTGTAAGTCTGATGACAGCTTCCAACCTTAGTCTCTTCCATCAGTATATTGTCTGAATTGCTGAAATGGTCAACTGTAGGCATTCCCAAAAAGAGCTTCTTCCAATTATTCTAAAGTCTCTATAGGTGAGTCCAGTCCAGTGCCTGTAACAGACTCCCAAAGATGTCCCAAATATCCTTCATCAGGTTTATATGAGGAGTCGTGGGAGGTGAAAGCAGTGGCGTCATACTGGGGAAAAGCTGTCAAAGGTGTCACCTTGTAAACCACATTCATTTTCATTTGGATATGTTATCAGGGTTTCAATACAAAAACCAGTATTGGGGACTGCATTGGGGACTATTCAAATGGGTATGTCTGTCTGTCTATCACACATTTTGGGACACTATAACTCTTCTTATAACCCATCTATACATGTACTTCAGATGCCAGTTGTTATGACATAAATTAAACATGCATTATGCAAGAGCTAAATCTGCCTATTTCAGGTCTTTCTTTAGGCCTGAAATGTTATTTAAATTATTAATTAGACATTAATTAACCTATCCAGGCCATAATCAACTCTAGATGGCTGCGCTAGCCTGCGATCTTTAGTGGATTGTAAGCCGATTTACTGCATAACTTTCCTTCTCATTCAACGATTAAATGGATGATCGAGACTATGTAAATTAGACATTAATTAACCTATCCAGGCCATAATCAACTCTAGATGGCTGCGCTAGCCTGCGATCTTTAGTGGATTGTAAGCCGATTTACTGCATAACTTTCCTTCTCATTCAACGATTAAATGGATGATCGAGACTATGCTGTTTATCGTACTGACTTTAGTAATGATGACCGAGGCTTATGGGAATCTCAGTCGCTTAGTTCTCGTTTCATAGTGAATCAATTTGAATGAAATTTTCACCAAATTGCCTTCTACCTTATCTAGTTTTTAACTATTATAGTGAGAACTGCCAACTCGTTACCGAATCTCCCATAATGTATCTTTAATGTTCAAACACCTTGGATAATATAACAGCTGGTTTGCATATATTTCATTGCCTGGCACCCCATCTTTGTCTAAGTCTGTCAAAGTGTATTAAAAATAGTTATTAGTGGTATAGAAAGTTTTAATGGTGACTGGTAAAGTGCCAGTTGTTGGGTTGGTTGTCTAGGTGATAAGATGTAAACTAAACAAAATATAAACCTTGATATAATGTTAATTCCAGTCTACCCCTTTAACTTTAAACTGTAATAATAGAACATCAAAGTTTTAATACAAATAGCAAAAGTTTTACTTTATGACAACACTATTGATATTTATTTACTTATTACATATTCAGATATTTTTTTTGATATTTGGGATTTGATCAAAAAGTACCTCAGTCCTACTTGATTTGATATAAAAAGAAATGTTGTTTGTCTTGTCCACAGGTTTATATTGTTGGTTTTGTTTTGTGTGTAGTGCTGTTGTTTATATCTACACTGCATATCATTAAATACACAGGAAGAGAAGAAATGGAGTTGAACATGTTGTCAGCACAACAACAAAAGCGTTTCCAATTACTATTCATCAAATTGCTTCTGTGAAGGGTTCTTTTACTTACACAGCAATTATAGGCCTATATCCAAGTCAGAATGAAACAGAGATCTGATTTTAATTAGATTGGCCATGAAAGGAAGGTTTTAACTTTTTCATTTAAATCAATATTTTCAGAAGATGCATGGGAGAAGGAATTACAACAAGAATTACAGGATTATGAAATGGTTGATGAGGGTCCAGAACTTGAAGATGATTTAGAACAAGAAATCTTAAAACAAATAGAGCAAGAGGCCAATCTTATTTCATGAGACTAATGTACATTCTCATCATTTTAATCTAATTTCTTTGATAGCTCTATGTAAATATTAATATTCTGACATATAAATTAATAAACTAAGGTTATTTCAATTTTCTTTTGGTTTCAAGGCTCGTTTATTATCAATGAACAGTTTGTAGAATTGTATTATTGTTAATTCAATTGTTAAAATTTTTATGTACAAAGTATAAGTTGTTGTATTAATCTATGGTCTTCTGTATAATGTGGTGTATTTTGTGATTTTGCATCTTTTATTTTATTGTTTGAAGAAACGAGTGCACCAATTATACAGAGTCCGTTCCATTTTGTTTGTGTGCACATTGTTGCTTTCTTGATGTATTTTTGTTAAGTTCCACATATTATACTATTGTCAGTCAGGTATTTTATAAAAATATAATGCTGAGTCATCTAACATGGTCACTTGAGATCAAGTCTGCCTTGTTCGTGGCAAGGAGTAGGGTAGCCTGCTTAAACTTTAGGCTTCTTGCTGGGTCCTCTGGTTTCCTATCACTGCTAAAGACCCTTGTACAAGCAATTTATTGAAATGAAGACATACCACGTGTTAGTCCCAAAAATATCTGAATTTGGGCTTAGTGAACTTTTAATCTTATTTCTCTCCATCTTATGAAAATAACTAACTATGGGAATATCATAGTATTATTAAATATGGTTAATAGTTAGTACAGTATATATATGTTTGTAATAATCAGAAAACTGCTTATATCATTTTGTAAAGGTGTATATTTTCCTTTTGAAATCTGTTCTTATATTGTAATATAGAGATGTGTATTATTAGTGTAAATATTTTGTATATAGTGGAAATTTTGTCAGGCTGCAATATAAGCTTATATAATAATTGTTATAAATCTTTATGTTATATATATGCACCTGTGTTTTACTTTTTACAATACTAAAGGTTCTTAGTTTATTTACTCATGGCAAAAATTCTGGTTATTTAACATGTGTGGGAAAATACTTGGGCTTTTCTTTCCTTGATTATATTATTTATAGATATTTCACATTAATAATTTGTTAATTTTGATAACTTGCAGAAAAAGTAGCCATTATTTATAATTTGTCCATCTTAATACATGTATTGTGATATTTTCTTAATAATAATTGATGAATTTTGCTGAAGGACTAATTGATTTCAGAAAAGTTAGTGATGCAGGCTACACAATTATTATTAGAAGAGGAGAAATAAATAGATATTTAATTGACAATTGGAATATTCTTTTTTTATATGCCCACATATTCATGTGGACGTATTATGCCATCGCCCCTGTCCGTCCGTCCACCATTTGTTTGTGGACACTCTACAGGTCACAATTTTTATCCGATGATTTTGACGAAACTTAAAATATAGGTCTATCTCCCAAAGATCTTGGTTACCTTCGATATTGGCATGTATTGTGATACATAACTTCATGGATTATGACCCCTGATTATACGAAAAATCACGTTTTAGCTTGTGGGCATGCTAGAGGTCACAATTTTCTCCTGATTTTGATGTAACCTGAAATGCATGATTATAACCCAAAGATCTTGGATCCTTTCGATATTCGTGCATATCAGATCATAACTTCGTGAATTATGGCCCCCGAGTGTACGAAAAATCGCGTGTTTAGCTTGTGGTCCCTCAAGAGGTCACAATTATTATCCGATTTAAAAAAAAACACGTGTGAATATATCACCGTTACACACTAAGATCTTGGTTCCTTTTGATAATCGCGCATATGCGAACGTAACTTCCTGGATTATGGCCCCTGATTGTTCAAAAAATCGCATTTTTAGCTTGCGGATTCTCTAGAGGTCACATTTTTGTTTTCTGATTTTAAAAACCATTTAAATATACCATCATTCCACCATAATGAAGGTTGACTTTGAATTTCGGGAAAATTGAAATGAAACTGCCCAACAAAATGGCCGCTGTTTGTACACAAATTGTGTAAAAGTATGTAATACAAAGGTTGTGGACCCTCTAGAGGGCACAATTTTTATCCGATTTTGATGAAACTCAAAACATATCTTTATATCCCAAATATCTCAGTCCCTTTAGATATTTGTGCTTTCAGACCATAACTTTCTGGATTATTGCCCCTGATTGTACACAAAATCGAGTTTGTTGTTATCTTGTTCTCTATCCATGTCTTGCAAAATGTGAGCGTATCCTGCCTGGCAGCGGCAGGTTTTGTATTTTTCTAGCATTAACTGTCTGTTAATAATCACTGATCCAGGATTATTCGTTTGAAGAATTAAGAAAATGCACTTGTGTTTGCGGCTGAGCATAGTGAAATGAACCATGACAGATTTTTGGTAAATACTTGATCATTTTATTGCTAAGTTGCCTTTGTTTTTCTCAGAGTGGATAAAATGATTGCACAAAACATGAGTTCTAACTAGTGCACATGACAAGTTACAACATAAACTATTATTGCTGCTAATCAGGCAAATATATTTATCTAATTATATATGTTACAATACCTAGTAAAATAAATGTACACATAACCATTTATGAATAAAATTGACACCATGCCCATTTTTCTCAAGAGAACGTCATTATACATAATTAACAGTATTTGTATTTTTGGCATATGGTCCATTTAGTAGCAGTCGTCTAGAAATCTATTTACCACTTCATTAAATAGGCATTATGTAAGAGCTAAATCTGCCTATTGCAGGTCTTTTTTGGGGCCTTAAATGTTATATAAATTATTAATTAGACATTTATTAACATGACCAGACCATAATCAACTCTCAATGTCATCGAATGCCTCAGATTTTAAGTAGATTAGAATGGTTTGGCCATTTAATGATTTAATTTAAAATGGATAAGCCAGACTAAGACCCGAATGACCAGTACGGTAGTTATGACCAATGCACACACATGTCAAAACTACAACCATTGATAAATTTGCTAAAAAAAAAAGTAATTTCAATGAAATTCTCAATATATTCGTTTTGCATTAACTATTTTTGAGCCATTTTTGTTTGCCAGAGATTCTTTTCGGTGGATCTACAATATTATTATAGGTAGAGCCACACCAAAACATTGAGGATTCCTAATTTGCACACCCAAATAATGGTCCAATATAAAGCACAAAAACAATCAAATTCATAGTGAAGATATTTGGCATTAGAATTTAAACTTCTAAGTTAATATATAATTAAAACATGATACAGCTTCTACATTTAAAGACACTTTCCCACAAAAGTATTTATAAGGTGGTTATTTTGGCATATATGGAAAGTAGAGACACCCAATCTTACTAGAAAAATACTGGATTCCTTGAAAAACAACCACAGGGCAAACATGAGAGGGTGTTACTAATAATTGGCAGCGTGAAGATTAAGGGCTGTCTGCTAGAGTGACGTCAAGGTTGAACGCGTAGATTGTCCAACATCATGACTTTTAGGGAGCGCTTGATGGTGAGCGGACGTGGAAAAGTGAGAGACTGAAACGTACAACTGTTTATGAAATAAAAACCACAGAAAAAGACATGGTCAGGGGATAATCTGAGAATTTACTTAGGCTTTAAAATTTATGATAAATGGACAGCGATTAAAGACAACATCAGTGTCTGATAAGAGACCGTTCCTAAAGGAATTATCAGAGTTTGACTTCGAACTGTCCATAACAAGAATGCAACAGACACTGTAGGTAACGGAAAACAATAAGTGGTGAGTGATGAATACCACAGAAATTTCAAGGTCACAGCGAATCTACTATTTTTTATGAATATTTTACCTAAATATGCTACCTCTCCTCTCTCAAATAATACCAAAGGTGTGTGATTTTCGCTTCACAACGACCATCAGTATTTCCCCACTGCTTCTCTACTTTCTTACAAAGCAGTGGGTCAATTTTTATCAGAAGTGGTGCATTTGCCCACTACTTAACTTTATTTAAAAATTCCCTGGCTCATAAGTGTTTTCAGCACTAACAATTTTGAAGTGCATACACAACATTAGACAATACGATTTAAATTATAGAAAATTTGTTTTAGTCAACATGAAAGCAGTTCTTGAAATCTTTTCTCTGCACTGGAACTTCAGGTTTATCAATTCAACCGTTTAGTTAACTATATCAACCGATCTTTGCTTTACATCTGTTTAATGCTTTTAAAATGAAATTACATTTGAAAATATTTTCAAAATTATGAGAAATGCTGTCACACTTTGAAAGACACCCTACCAAAATGAACACAAGACATTTATTTTCTTAAGATATAGACGTTTTTGTTCAACATGTGGCAGTTTCAATGTAAGAGACATAACTTTTCAGTTGGGAATAAATGGCGAGGGGGTCCTTACTGGGGATATTAACAAAAGGAGACCCCATGGGTCGGTATGCTATTATAAAAGTGCAGGAATCTCATAACAAATATGTAGGGATCTGTTATTATCATCTCCAACAACAATATGATTTAAACTTAGAAAAAAATATGAGCAGGTTGGATGTGAGGGTCTTTTGTGGCGGTAGTTTGTGGCAATATTAAGGCAGCATGGGGCTGCCTAAATTTATTTTCAAATGGTGATAGTCACACAAAGCTTCCCCTGTAAAAAGTTCCACCCCCCCCCCCCCCCCCCCCTGTGGAAAAAAATTTTAGACCATAAAAAAAAAGATATACTTGTCCGTCAATATTTCAGCACCCCCCAGCTGTATTGGATTATTAATCACTGATTAGTAATATACTGATATGCCACTTCTCAGACAAAATTGACACCAAGATTAAATTGATTTGAGCAATTTGGAATGGCAGTTATGTTAGTCTATAGCCCGGTTCACTTAAATCTGATCTATTGTTTCTGGTTCATCGTCTTGTTTGTAAAACCTGTGCACAGTTCGCCAGTGATCTTGACCTTACGGAATATGCCGACATACCGTGCGGCATGTGTGATGTTTATAATATCAAATATAATTGAGTCTTGCCAACCTCGTATTTGATCATTTCTGTGAAAGAACGCCGCTGAAAATATTCCAAAACGAAAGGCGCTTAGCCACGATTAATCTTTAAATAAATAATGGATGTTTTAAATTATGTTCAATGGGAATAATACAACAGTTTCACTTCAACTTCCTTTGTGTGTCTTTATTTTATGGGCCAATGTCAGCAAAAACGACCTTGACATTGTTCAACAAGTCGAGGTATTTCTGTTATCGACTAAAATGTAGTACTTGTTGTAAACAGCTTTATAAACAGGTATGGAATATGGCTCTTTTGTCTGACCTGTGTTCTGCTAAATGAACTTTTGGACAATTTATTGTAATCATCGTATAGAGAAAATTGATGTTCAAATTAAACTAGAGTCACAGCACCTTACCCTGCAGGCTTAATAAAATACATTATAACCGTTTTTTTTAAAAAAAAAAATAGAACACATAATAAATTATTTAGGCCTACTATACCCTGTACATGTTATGATATTGAAAACGATCCTATACCCATATTATGTCCAAAAAAATCTCCATTCAGGTTGATATATATATATATATATTACAAAGCAGACGGTTGCCTGGGTTGGTCTAATATATTATTGCATTGAAAAAAGTTGTTTTCTGTCAGGGCATCGCAGAATAAAACACGGCGCTTGACACAGTTGTATCTTTCCACGAAAACATTACTGCTTGAAATTTCCGACAGTGGCAATGATTGTAGTATGGGGTTGAATTGTTCATGCCAAAGGGGGGGGGGGGGGTACACCCAATTAGGACCCCAAGCTAGAGCGCTAAAAAAAATTATCGTAGTAACGTATCATTCTAACACCAACTGTAAAGCCTATTAGAATTTTCAAGAGGTTTAGTCATTGCACTGTATATAGACCGAGTTTCACGTCGATACATGGTTATTTTCAAACGCCCACATGTCATGGGTGGGATATATCTATTTTGTCGCCATCCCGGTCCTTCCATAATTATTATTCGCCACAGAGATACCGAGAATGCTTTTTAACTCGGTTGGGGATCGGGGGAGGGGACCTCTTTTGAGTAACTGCGCTTGTCACCCTTACCCTGTAAGGGCTCGGCAAATCAGAGATTTTGATATATTTTTATCCAAACACAATTGCTATAAATATATGTATGAATAAGAAGTGCGCTTCCTTATTTTTCAAATACAGTTTTTCTAAAGAAATTAAAGCAGATATAATGTTGTTTTTTTTAAATTTTATTTTCCTTGTAAACTAACAAACAAGTAAAAATCTTATATCGTTGTTTACGTTT